CTATTACCTGAAGTTTCTTATTGAAGGCAATTCAACTATTGTAGTTAAATTTCTTGGAGGTCTTGTTGATGATAATGAAGGTCTCGGTGATGATATTGAAAGTCTTGGTGATGATATTGAAGGTCTTGGTGATGATAATGTACTAACCGGTTGGGCATCCAATGATAATCTATTTATTGAGATCATATCTTGCGTCACAGTAGATGTAACCTCTATGGAAGAACGATTCATGCTACTGCTACTACTACTATAGCTGTGTGAAGAACGATTATCACGGTTATAATTATCATTAAAATTGTTAAAATTTCGATTGGTATTATTAGCCAATTGAAGATTTTTTCCAATTATTTCGTCTTGCAAAACTAAAATTATAATAATACAAGCTATCGCAGTACCAAGATTTCCCAACACTAGGTGTAACCATAAATTTACGACTGTCGGGATTAAAAATTGCAAGGCGTCAGTAACCACAAAAAATACAATCGCGAACGCAAAAGAAATGTTCATGATTAATACTTTTATTGCAGTAACTTTCCTTTTATACCTTAATCTCTGTCGTTGAACTTTCTTTCTTAACGCGGTAAAGATATATGAGCCAAATAATATAAATTCGATACCGACAAGGCCTATTGAGACGTACTCCAACGTAAATGATAGTTTGATTACTATTTTAAACCAAGTTGTAGCAGTATTCAAAAAGGATAATGTTTTAACTAAAAATCCAGATATAAATATAATTATGCAAAACGATAAAATATACGAATATATTTTACTTAAATTTGATGCATGCTTGGAATAATGTTGATGTGTTTGACATATGATCGATGCCGCTTTTTTCCATTGAATTTCCAAAATTGTAAAAATGATGAACAATATTAGATCTTTTGAATGACTGATAAGGGCACAAGTAAATAAATCTATCGCTGCTTCATGAATAGGATCGATCGTTAATTTGATGATCCCCAATATGCAAACGAATGTAATTCCAGGATAACAGTAAATTTTAATATTTCTCACGATGAATCCAAATTGTTTAAAATTATTTACTAATAAAAACATTGATACGATGATTATAATAACGTATATTATACTCATTATAACACTCCAAGTAATCCATGATGGACTTTTAACTAAATCATCCCACTTGCTCTTTCCAGATGTGATCTTTGCACGAGCAATTTCGGTATTAATTTCTTTCAATTCATATATATCCTCATACTTTAATAATGTTAATCCAGGTATGGATTTTTCCAATACATCTCTATCACCACTATAAAATTCCTTTATACCGGGTACTCCTTCATTCATAGAAGTGAATACAATGACTTTAGGAATAAATTTAAAAGTAGTATCTTGTCTCTTTCTTAACCCAACTTTAACTTTTGTCTCTAGAGGTGGGATTTTTGCTGAAACTTCTACGTTAATTAT